TCCCGGCGGCGACGACTGATTTTACAGGAGGAATCTGAAGAGGAGGAGACTAGTGGCGAGAAGACCCTCCAACCGTGGAACACCCGTGCTCCTTCTGGCCCTTCTGATGGTCCCCCTCGCCCCCTGGAGGATTCTCGTCGGCCCTCAAAGGAATCTACTCATACTGGAGATCTGGTGCATCGGGTTCGCCCGCGACTGAAAAAAGGAGGAGTTGCATGCCCTCGGGCTTTATCAAATCTAGATGAGGGATCCAATCATTCTGGTGATCCGCGGGAGTTGGAGGACAAGGAGGCGGTCGATTCTCTGGATAGTCCTATTTATGAGGATCAGCAGCATGTCACGGACTCGGATGGGGATCAATCGATTGAGGATCATCTCCCGTTTGAGATCAAGAGAAGGTCACCAGGTGGTGTCTCCATGGAGACTCACCAAATCTTAACTGGGAGAGTTCACCAAGTGGTGGAGGCTTTTGAAGCTAGTCTGGTCTATGTGCGGGAGGAAGGTCAGGCCTGCAAGGGGCCTCGCTCGAACCTCAATGAATATGGGTCTAATATGATGGACCCATCTGTGGAAGCTCGGAAGCGTGTGCTCGATGATTTGGATGGGGAGATGGGTGATCCCCTACCCCGAAGAAGCAATTTGTGGAATCAACTGATGTTCTGGAGAAGGTGGAGGAAGCCAGCCTCGAGTGGCCCCCAGCCGATAAATGAGGATTCTGGCATGGAATGTGAGAGGAATTGGGTCATCCCTCACTTTCCAAACTGCTGTAGGGCTTGTTCATTCTAATAAACCGGATCTCGTGTTTTTTTCGGAGACGCGATCGAGCCACCGTGTAGTGTCCCGTCGTAGCGGGGTTTAGGTTTTGCTATTTCTCATTGTTTATTTGTAGATCAGTCGATGCATCGGGTGGTTTAGTTGTTGCTTGGTCCCCCGGGGTTGACACTTCGATGTTGTTTCATTCCTCTTTTTATATTTGTTCGCAAGTTAATGAAGGAGACTTTTCTTATGTGGTGATCTTTGTCTATATTAGTTGGAATGTTGCGGTAAGAGCTAATCAGTTGGCTCAGCTTCGAGATGTTTGCGCGAATATTAATCACCCGTATGTAATCATAAGTGACTTCAACACTACCCTCCATGAGGGTGAAAAAGATGGGGGTCGGGCTTGGAGTGCTGCTCAAGCCGTTAGTCTCCGTGAGCTCGTTCAGGATTTGGGACTCCATGACCCTGGGTACCAAGGGGATCAATTCACTTGGACTAATAAGCGTATGGGTTCAGATAGAGCGCTTCATTCCCAGTCTTGGATCGTTACTTATCCGGAGACTCTGGTCAAGCATTTTACGGACCAGGGTTCGGATCATCGGGCCCTTCTCCTCGTGGATAAACCGTATACTCGGAGTAGCCGACCTCTGTTTCGATTTGATGCTCCCTGGGCGGATAATCCAGAGGTCAGGGCTATGGTCCACTATGTCTGGCAGGAAGAGGTCCAAGGTACCCCTATGTTTCGACTCTGGGAGCGCCTTAAAAAGCTGCGTCATCTGCTTTATGACTGGAGCAGAGCGGGTACCACGAACTCCCTGCGTAATATCAAGACGCTCCAGGTTGAAATTGACAACGTTAAGTCGATCCATCCGGTGGACTGGGATGTGGTCAAGGGCCTGGAAACGGAGTTGTCTCGGCAGTGGGAGGCGGAGGAAATACACCGGCAGCAGAAATCCAGGGTCCATTGGTTAAAAAAAGGTGATCAAAATTCGGCCTATTTCCACACGGTCACTCGTGCTCGACGGAAGAGGGATTTTGTCTCGGGTCTCCGTAATGATGAGGGTGAATGGGTCACTGAGGAAAGTGTGAAGGCTACTATTGCCACCAACTTTTACCAGACTCTGTTCACCTCGGAGACCCAGGTTCCTAATATGGCGGATAGAGTGGCAACTCTGCCCATTGCTCGTAGTGTCACTCCGGAGATGAATGCGCAGTTGACGGCTGAAGTATTGCTTACGGAGGTCCGACAAACGGTCTTCTCAATGGGGTCGAAGCAGGCCCCAGGATCGGATGGTTTCACAGGGAAATTTTTCAAGGCTTTCTGGGATATTGTGGGCACTTCGATGATTGAAGCAGTGTGTTCGTTCATTGAGACTAGCCGGATGCTGCGAAGCTTTAATCTTACCTGGCTCACTTTGATCCCTAAAGTGGACTCTGTGGAGACTGTCAGACAACTGCGACCGATCAACCTGTGTCAATTTGTTTATATAGTGATAACCAAAATCATGGTTGCCCGGCTTGCAGGTCTGCTTCCTCGGATCGTCTCTGAAGGTCAGAATGGGTTTATAAAAGACTGCCAGATTATTGACAACATCCTTTTAGGACATGAGCTGATGCACTATCTAAAAATAAAAAAGCAGGGGAAGAAAGGGTACATGGCTCTAAAGGTTGACATGGAAAAGGCCTATGATAGAGTCGAATGGCCCTTCCTTATGGCAGTTTTGGATAATATGGGGTTTAACTCTGTTTGGCAAGGTTGGATACATGAATGTCTTCGTTCATCTTCATTTTAGGTCCTGATGAATGGTACACCCTCGAGTTACTTTACTTCCTCTCGGGGGCTCCGACAAGGGGACCCGCTTTCGCCTCTCTTGTTTGTGCTTTGCACAGAGGGGTTTGCGGCCCTCCTACGAAAGGCGATCTCGGAAAAGAGGCTGGAGGGGGTGAAAGTGGCTCCACGTGCTCCAAGAATCTCTCATTTGTTCTTCGCTGATGATTCTTATCTCTTCCTGCGAGGTTCACTTCAGGAGTGTGAGAATTTAATTGAGGTCCTGAATGAATATGTGGAGCTGAGTGGCCAACGAGTTAATCTGGAGAAATCTGCGGTGTGCTTTAGTAAAAATATTGTCATGCCAGATCAGGAGTTCTTGGCCACGATCCTCGGGGTTGGTGCATTGGGGTCCATGATAAATACCTAAGGTTACCCACTCTGGTTGCCCGATCCAAAATGGCTATGTTCAGATATTTGGAAGAGAAACTTTTGGAGCGACTTCAGGGTTGGAAGGAGCGGACATTGTCCTGTGCGGCTAAGGAAACTTTGATTAAATCCATAGCGTTGGCCTTACCCTTACATGTTATGTCATGTTTCCGGCTTCCCCTCTCTCTTTGTCGACTCTTAGATAGGCATGTTGCCCGTTTCTAGTGGGGTGCGGAAGAGGGTCATCCCAAGGTTCGCTGGGTTTCCTGGAGTAATATGTGCAGGGGTAAACATGATGGGGGGATGAGATTTCGCCAGTTCGAACATTTTAATCAAGCTCTTTTGGCTTGGCTGGCGTATCCTTAATGAGCCTCATTCCCTCCTTGTCCAGGTTTATAAAGGAAAGTACTTCCCACAAGGTTCATTCCTGAGTGTGACGGCTAGGTCACGCCCTTCCCGAGGGTGGCAGAGTATCCTCTATGGGCGAAAATTATTGGAGATGTGTTTAAAATGGCAGGTTGGCAATGGCCGTTCGGCCTCTCTTCTCCACTCGAACTGGATTCCTGGGTACCAGCTTGATCCCCCTTGCTATAACCCGCTAGTCTTGCCAGATGTGGGTGATCCCTTGGTGGCAGAGGTTATTTGTGAAGGGGAAGAGCGGTGGTCTGAGGACAAGCTTAGTCTATGGTTTGACCCACCTACATGCAGAGCCATTAAGGCTATTCCACTCCCCCGGCGAAATGTGACTGATAAGCTTATCTGGCATGGCAGGGCAGATGGGGTTTTCTTAGTAAAGTCAGCCTACCATTTGGCGTAGATTTGGATAGAAGAAGGGGTGGGTAGCGATCCTCGGCTAGTTGGATGGATAAGCCAAGTAGGATCAGGGTATGGGAAGCTAAGATCCCTCCAAAGCTGAAGGTCTTTGTTTGGCAAATTCTGAATCGGGCTCTGCCCACTACGGAGGCGCTTATTGAGAAGAAGGTTCATGTGCTACCCCGGTGTCCAGTTTGCTGGGATAGTCAAGAGACTATGGAACATCTGTTTCTGTATTGTCCGGTTGCGCGGGCTCTTTGGGACTATTCAGGGCTGGAATACTTGGGGGAGGGTTTGCCTAGGCACACCTTTCCTTTATTCCTCAAACGTCTGCTGGCGTTGATCCATCAACTGTCGTTGGTTATGGCAGTTGTTGCCATCCTTTGGCGGATCTGGCGGTCTCGTAATTGGGTTGTCTTTGAAGGCAAACAATTTGGGATCCTGACGCTCTTGCGGCAATTTCACCAGCAGTATGAGGAATGAGTGGGCTTGCCAACGGATCGGGTGCCCCGTGTGACGTGTCCGTCGGTTCAGCCAGAAATTCTGGTGCGTGAGACCCGGTTGGTGTGTATGTGGGATGGGGCCACTAGGAGTGGGTCGCATTCGGCTGGTGGGATGGTTATTTTTTATCCGGAACGGATGCTTCTTCTGGCGAAAGGGGTGCAGTTCCCTCAAATGGATGAGCCTGCAGTGGTGGAATTACTAGTGCTCCGGGAGGCCATTGTTTGGTGTTTGGAGTGTGGCTTGTCTGAGGTCCGGTTTGAGGGCGATGCAAAGGTGATTATTGATAAAATTAATCAAGCCGACACAAGGGATGACCGGTTGGGTGCTGTTCTGGAAGAGATTTGTTATTTTTTCGCGCCCAGCCTGGGTTTAGTGTGCGCTTTGTAGGTCGGGAGAACAATAGGGCAGCTCATTCGATAGCTAGAAAAACACTCTCTTTGTATCCGACTACGTGTCACTTCTTTGATTTCCGGGCCTGGCTGGTTTCCAGGATGTAACTATCTATTTTTTGTTCAATATATGATATCTTTTGACAAAAAAAAAACCGTATCTAAACCGTTTTAAGTGAGAACTTTTTAGTTTATAAAATACAAGATCATATCTGAAATCACAGGTCCTCGACACAAAATTTGAATACCAAACTCGTAAAGAAAAAATCTCCTCGTTGATTAGAATCGATATACAAAAGTATATTTCCACGAGTCACTATAGTATTTTTACGAACACGGGTAACCACACCCACCTCGATTTCCACCTCTAGTCATACAGATACTGATTTGCAAGTTCTACCATTCCGAAGGACCTCCGGTACAGATAGGTTTCTCTCTCCTTGTCGCCCAGCTACTGTGAGTCTGTGACGCTGCCGCCGTAGTCTCGGATCAAAGGGCAAGTCGTCGTTTAGTTCTCTGGAAACCACCCAATTACTGTCGGAGAACCGCGTAGCAGAGCTCGGTGTTTGCACGACTAATAACAGAGCGAGACAGTTTTTGAAGGTAGAAATTTTAGGGTTTTCTGCGAATTAAGATAATGTCTTCGGGCAATCCCAAGGACGGGGACTTGCAGATAATACCAGCGGCGGCGGATAATCCAAGGCCGCCAGCAGTTCCGCCCCGTCCACTCATGGTGGCCACGTCTGCGGGATCAAATGCAATCGTGGAGTATACAGGGCCGGTGTTCAAGGAACCAGAAGAGGACTTGGAGCTCAAGCTTCGGCGGATACTTGAGAATGTACCGGTTCGAGTCAGCAATACTTCTGGCAGTTCCGCCGGTGCCGGCTCCGGTGACTTTCATCAGGTATTTCGTCATTCACAGCGCGCCTCCCGTTTTACTAAGGTGGAATTTGCATAGTTTTAGGAGATCCTCCTTGTAACTTCCCTGGCCTTCAGTGAGGAGCTGTGAATGCACAGCAAAGAAGATTTAGCTTAGTCTTGGTTAGTATTTGGGTCGTTAGGGTTGCTGTTCAAGCTAAATTTCTAGAGGGATTGCTGCAGGTTCAGCGAGTAAAGTGTTCTAGGTTACGAACATGGGGACTATGAACGGGGCCAGATTAAGGGTTTATGTGGAAGTTTAGTGCTCCCAGTCTTGGAACTAACTGAAAAGCATCGTTGCGCTATCAGGTACAATGTGAATGGTCTCTGTTTTCGGTGTGTAAAGATGCTGGGATTATGACCTGGTGCAGCATTAACAGTTCATTCGGATGTAACGAATGATGCTTATGCTAGTGGGGGAAATCTGATGTGAAATGTCATTCACATGCAGAACTGGACTCTGGTGGCTATGTCTTCATAGGCTTCATGTGTTCGAAATTGATTTCTCAACTATAAGAAACATATAAAATGAATCCAGGCAATTCATTTGTAGTCGAATAACATCAGGTGGAGGTCTTTCTGTTTGTACTAGTAGCATTACTGCTTTGGCTTCTGGTGCTGATGTTTTATTTCTACATATTGTAGTAGGTGGGAGTTAAGCAAAGCATCACATCTTTCTTCAGCATCTTTGAACCTAGTTTTATTAGGGTCCAGGTTTTCTATCTGTGTATGGCATTACGTTCTTGTTCTCCTATTTGCAAGGATATAAGTCTGCAGTGTAGCTATCCATTCATCTGCCGTATGTTCTTCTAGTTCCCTGCAAAACAGAATTTGGTTCTTAAGTAATCCAATGTATGTTACTGCATTGGACATCGAATCTCTCATGTGTATGCTTCAGAAAATGGGATCCTGGTGCTTTTGACCTGTGGAACCTCTCGGAAATTGGAATGGTTGTGTAACTGTGTTCTATTTTGTTTTGGTATGAGCAGCTAAAACTAGCTTTCTACAAAGTTTTGAGATTGATAGTGCACTGATTATTGTTGGCTTCATTGAAGTCCTCATATATTCATCTCTCTATATCAACTTGGCTTTTTGACAAACAGTATCGGCAAATGAGGCGGAAAGAGCAAGATCGGGTTGCTAGGATGGAGGTCGACTACCTGAGAAGGAAAGAAGAAGCAGAATTCAGCATGAGAAGGGAGGAAAGGTTGAAAGCTGAGGAGGAGCAGAGAGCCAAAAAACGTGCCAAGCGGCAAAAGAAGAAGCAGAAGAAGAAAGAGAGGAGGAAGACGCAACCAGGTCCTGCCGAAGGAGCAGCAGGGCTCCAGAAACAAGAATCTTCGGATGATGGATCTGAGAGCGAGGATGAATCGACAAAGTGAACACCAAGGTTCCGCTGTATCTTTCAAGTTCAGAAGACTTTCTTCAATTTCAAGCCTTTTCTTCGTCCGCATACTATAGATTTTGTACTATGCAATGTATTTAAACCAGCTGTAGTTGTGTGAGATCCAAATAGGCATATGATCTTTGGGCAAATGAGATTATTACATGGTTCTCATCATGCATTTCTGTAGTACCCTCACTGAGAGTACCTCTGCTCTTGTTCTTGTAGCAACTATTGTGGTTACTCATCGAGCTGATTCCCTGGAATGGGCCGGCTACGAAAATTTTCTGACTGTTCTTTGAGCCATTAATTCATCGATCAAGGGCCACGGCCCAAATCTGACCGATTTGCCAAATTATCCACTTTACTTCTTTTTTTTTCGTTTTTTTTTTTGGTTGAGAGCACATTCCACCTTATTGGAAAAAGACACAACAACAAGAGAAAACCAAAGAGCACACGCAGTTTGGCGTCATTGGTCCTTTGACAGTTCAAAGGATCCTCCTCCTTCCTCATCGCACTCCGCGGACTTTTTTTTTAATTGCAATATCTCTCTCTCGCTCGATCTTTGCCGTACTGGTGAACTTCCCAAAGTTCTCGATCGCCATGGGAGAAACCGCCCCTACTCCTCCTCCTCCTCGCCGCATTTCCGTCCACCAGCTCCTCGGCGGCGGCTCAGGTCTCTTCTCTCTTCCGCGCTCTCCTGAATGCTTCAATCTTGCTGATTTTTTGATGGTCCATGCATCGCATGTTTCCAATCGGAGAGTGTAATCGATTGCCGACCGATCCTTTCACTTTCTCATTTGGAATGTAAATCATCGCTTTCGTTTTGCTTTGTTTCTCTGTTTTTTCTCAGTGGCCGATGTTCTGTTGTGGCGGAGATGGGGCGCGAGCTTGACGTTGTTAGTGGTTTCGTCGACCTCGTGGTATCTATTCGAGCGAGCTGGATACAATCTGCTGACGTTCGTGGCGAATGTGTTGTTCCTCCTCGTTCTGATACTCTTCCTGTGGGCGAAATCTGCTTCTCTTCTCAATCGGTAACTTTACTGAATTGCTTCCCCCCTGCTTTTCTGTGTATATTTACTGCCTTTACCTTTTGATTCCTGAGAACTGTGATCAGCAGTGATAGATGCTAGGAGCGAATTCTTAATTGTTTAATCACGAGCAATGGAATAGATTGTTGAAGATATGAGTTTTTGAATCCCGAGTAAGTCCCTTTGTGTTTTTGTTTAGGCCACTGCCGCCAATTCCTGATCTCGAAATAACCGAGGAGACTGTTGACAAAGTTTCTCGAGTTGTTCAAGTTTATGTGAACCATATATTGGCAGTTGGATGTGAAATTGCAATTGGCAGGAATTTGAAAGTCTTCTTACAGGTATTCTTGATTTTATCTTATGTTCTCAATACTCACATTTCCTTTAAGAATTTGGAAACCTTTTACCTTCCTATGTGGCTAAGGTGAAGAACTGCTTCCTGTGATTCACAACTTTCCTCCAGGTCGCTTTTGTCTCATGGATCGTGTCCTATGTTGGTAGCCTCTGCAGTTTTCTTACTTTTGCTTATGTTGGTGAGTTGTTTAGTGTCATACTTCCTTTTTTTTTTAAAAAAGTTGTTATTGCCGCAGTCTAGCAACTTGCTAACTGATGTTTGGCTTTTTTCTGCAGGGATTCTTCTCTGTCTTTCAATCCCAGTCCTGTATGACAAATACCAGCACCAGATTGATGAAAAGTTGGTTGTACCACAGAGAATCCTTGAAGCTCAGCTAAGAAAAATTGATGATACCCTTCTGAAGAAGCTTCCACTGCCATCACACAAGGAAAAGAAGGTTCAATAGGTAAATGCTCCCGATGTGTCACTCTTTTCCCCCTCTCCTACACTCTCGCGTGTCTATGTCTACCTAATGATATATGAACCCACACTACAAAGTTTTTTGAGTAATTGGTCCCGGTATTGAGCGTGGCCTTGATTCTCGCAAGCTCATTAGTCTTTCAGAAACCATGCGGCACTTTATTTGTCCGCTTTTCTGTTGATTTTTTGAAAAGCTATCCAGTTCTACCTCATATCTGTATGCCCATGTTCTGTATTGATGCTTCTTAGGGATCAATCTCATCTATTTCTATCGAACTCTATCCTGAGAGAAGAGCATTGTCCATTTCTATGACTTGGTTCTGTCCATGCTTTACCGCACTCTATATTTTGATGCTATGAAAGAAGGGATAGGAGGGAGATCATACTGATTTCAATTTTCTATGGAATACATGCTGTACCATGATTTTGAGCACCAGGAAGTTATTATGTCTTGGAGATATCTGTGCTGAGGCATGAGGGCTGTCTGTTGATGTTAAGATGGCTTGGTTCCTCATTGTTGTTTGCTTCCCCTTTGAACGATAGCAACCATTTTATTGAACTAGTTGATAGAATTAACATATGCACACAACTATGTTCTGCTATACGTTATGCTCAGCAAAATCGTTCATTTCCCAATGTTTGTTTACTTTAGTGCGTTAATCCAAATTCTCTTACTCAATATAAGCTTCACCGTCATCTTCTTGGTCATTTTCAGGTAGCTAGAGGTTTTGAACGCAGTTGCTGGCTCTTCTGAGTTTGGGAATGTCTTCGTGCTAGTTTTTGGGAAAGGTCAAATAGCTATAGGGGATGCATAGTTTCTATGTTGCTTATTCCTGTTTGCCTTTCCCTCCATCTTCCACCAGAATCTGACTGTTAGATCTCCAATTCTTGTTCATTCATGTAGTTCGATGGCTCGAGTATCTTTTCCACCACCGGAGTGCATTGATGGCTTTGAGAGGGAAGATGGAAAATAGTTGCCTTGGTTTTTTAAGTTGTGGCATTAGGCAGAGTGAGGTCCCAGTTTGTACATGATCCATTTTCTTTGGCAAATGAGTTTGCTTATAGTACTCAAACTTTGTAATGTCAAGATCTCGGTATTTCTTTCACAGTTGATCTGCTGGCGATAGCTTCTGTTTGTTGTTGTACGAATCTCCGTCATTTGCTTGAAACAGGTAATAGAATAGAACTCGATTGGATTGGTTGTGTTCTTGATAGAAGCCCGCGAGGCGGGTAGGGTGGGTTGGGGCCGGCCGTGTGGGCCCGGGTTGAGTAGCAGTTAGGTTATTTTTGTTAGTTTGCTGAAACTCATTAAAGAGGGCTTAGTACGTTCATTTTGGAAGAAAGCAATAATAATATCAAAATCTCTAAATCCCTCCTCTCTGTTCTTCCCCAATTCTCCTTCAAATCCCTAATTCTTCTTCTCAATTCCCAACCCAATTCTTCTCTATTATTTGGTATCAGAGCCTGGTATGATCTCGATACGGCTCTCTACTCGGGAATGGGCTTGTGTGAAGCAGCAGTATGACGCCATTCGGGCTGCCCAAGCTCAGACAGCGCGTGAACAGGGCCGCGAACTGGTGACTGCCGAGACGATGGAGTGGTGCGCGGCGCTGTAGGTGGCGGCGGCCCACGCTGACGGTCGACCATGGTGTCGCTGCGGGCGAGGAGGAGCGGCGGAACCCCGGGCGGTTGCTGGCGGGTTGCGGCAGTCGCTGGTCGAGGTCGCGGCAGGCGGCGCGATCGAGGCGGCAGCGCGTTAGGGGGAAGCGCCACGGGCAACGGCGACAGAAGGGCGGCGCGTGTCGCCGCGCAAGGCGGAGGAGGTCGTGGCGGCGGCGGCGTCGACGGGGGAAGGAGCGGCTCCCGCTCTGTCTCTCCATGCAGTGATGGGGCTGCCGACACCGGGGACTCTCCGTTTGACCGTTTCCGGGTTCAGGTTGCCGGTACCATGGCGCTAACCTTGGTGGACAGTGGCGCCACCCTGAACTTCATTAGCGAGGAGTTAGCCAAACTCCTTCCGTAGGCGCCAAGCTCGATGGATCCAATGGTGGCTCGAGTAGCGAATGTGGCACCCATGCAGTGCAAGACCGTCTATAAGGAGCTTCCATTCGATATTCAAGGGCTGCCCGTCACCGCGGATGTGTTTGTGCTGCCCATTCGCGGGTTTGACATGATTTTGGGTGTTCCATGGTTGCAGGGATTGGGACCGGTCACCACCGATTGGCGTCGCTTGTCCATGCGGTTCAAATGGAGAGATAAGGAGTGGTGTTTGCAAGGGCTTACCACGGCCCTAGGTCCGGTCTCTCTCCACGAGTGCGCCATCGAGGAGGAGGCGGAGTTGGCGGTCCTGTGCTGGCCTGTGGTGACGACTGAGGACCAGGAGCTGGCCCCTGACCTCCGAGGGGTACTGGCAGGGTTTCCGGGGCTCTTCCAAACACCGACCACATTGCCTCCCCATCGCCAGGTTGACCATCGCATTCAGATCAAGGACGGTGTAGAGGCTGTGAATGTCCGTCCCTACCGATACGGCCTTCACAGAAGGAGGAGATCGAGCGCCAGGTGGAGGAGATGCTAGCGACCGGTTTGATCCGGCCCAGCACCAGTCCCTTTTCCTCACCGGTGCTGTTGGTCAAGAAGAAGAATGGGACTTGGCGATTTTGCACTGACTATCGGGCGCTCAACGCCGCTACGATGAAGGATCGATTTCCGATTCCGACGGTGGACGATATGCTCGATGAGCTCCACGGATCAGTGTACTTTACTAAGCTCGATCTGCGAGCAGGGTACCACCAGATTCGGATGCAGGAGAGGATGCGCACAAAATCGCTTTCCGGACTCATAACGGCCATTATGAGTACTTGGTCATGCCCTTCGGATTGTGCAATGCTCCGTCGACCTTTCAGGTGGCGATGAATGACATTTTTCGACCTCTGCTGAGACGGTATGTGTTGGTATTCTTTGATGATATACTTGTCTACAGCCCATATTGGGAGATGCATTAGCAGCATTTGCAGGCTGTGTTTGAGATACTACGGCGCCACCAGTACTATCTCAAAGCTTCGAAGTGTGCATTTGGGGTGTAGAAGGTGGAGTACTTGGGCCACATTGTCATGCCCCAGGGAGTTCAGGTGGATCAGAAGAAGATTCAGGCTATGATCGAGTGGCCAACTCCGACCACTGTCTCGGAGCTGAGAGGGTTCCTCGGGTTGACCGGGTACTATCGGAAGTTTGTGCAGGGTTACAGTATGATCGCTCGGCCCCTGACTAATCTGTTGAAGAAGGGAGAGTTCGCATGGACTTCAGATGCCGACAGGGCCTTCCAGCAGTTGAAGCAGGCCATGACCACCACTCTGACGCTAGCCATGCCGAACTTTTCCCGGACCTTCGTGATCGAGGCAGATGCTTCTGGCAGGGAAATTGGGGCAGTGCTGTCCCAGGATCGGCATGCGGTAGCCTATATGAGTAAGACCTTGGCTCCATCCAAGGAGGCTTGGTCTACTTACCAGAACGAGATGCAGGCTATAATCACAACGGTACAGATATGGCGACCGCACCTTCTGGGCCAGAAGTTCCACATTTATATCGACCACCAGAGCCTGAGGAACCTTTTGGAGCAGCGAGTTTCCACTCCCGATCAGCACAAGTGGGTCTCCAAGCTCCTTGGGTATAATTATGAGATTCACTATCGGCCGGGTCCCTCCAATGTCGTGGCGGATGGGCTCTTGCGGCGTTCCAGAGGTGAGATATTGGTGGCAGTGACCGGGCCGTTTCCCCAGTTCTGGGACGCGCTCCGGGCTCTGGTGGAGACAGATACGTACTTGCAGAGATGTCGGGAGACGGTAGCCAGTGAAGCACCGGGCCATTATTCCTTCCGCCAGGGGCTGGTCTTCTTTCGCGGGCGCCTTGTTCTTCCGCGGGGATCTTCACTGGTGACGACCGTGTTACAGGAGTATCATGACTCCCCCTTTGGAGGGCATTCGGGGGTCGAGCGGACGTGGAGGAGGATCAGGGCCCAGTTTTATTGGCCCCAGATGGGCCAGGATGTGAAGGACTATGTCGCGTCGTGTGATACTTGCCAGAGGGTCAAGACTTCTCGTCTGCGACTGGCAGGCCTCTTGCAGCCCTTGCCGGTACCGTACCGGGTGTGGGAGGACATCAGTATGGACTTCATCGTCGGCCTTCCCCCCTCCGGAGGAAAGATGGTCTTGTTCGTCGTCGTTGATCGACTGACGAAGTATACCCATTTTATAGCCCTGGCACATCCGTACACAGCCCGGTCGCTAGCAGAGCAGTTTGTGATGGGAGTAGTGCGACATCACGGGTTCCCGAGGTCTATTGTCAGTGAGCGGGACTCCGTTTTCCTGAGTCGCTTCTGGCAGGAGGTGTTCACGAGGGCCCAGACCACACTGCGGATGAGTTCCGCCTATCATCCACAGACAGATGGCCAGATGGAGGTGGTTAACCGTTACCTGGAGCAGTAGATGCGCTGCTTTGCCCACCAGCAGCCGAGGCGGTGGCTGGCTGTGTTGCCCTGGGCCGAACTATGGTATAACTCTACTAGTCTACTTACCATAGAGCGATCCAGACTACGCCGTTTGAGGCCCTGTATGGGAGGCCGCCCCCCGCCTTGGTTCGCTACAAGAACGGCACCAGCCGGGTAGATGCGGTGGACCGCTGGCTGGAGACACGAGATGAGTCCTTGGAGCAGCTCAAGGCCAACCTGGCGGCGGCCAATAACAAAATGAAGCAGTTGGCTGATGCAGTTCGGCGCGAGGAGGAATTCGAGGTTGGAGACTGGGTTCTGCTTCGTCTTCATCCGTACAGGCAGGCTTCCGTCTTTCGTCATGCTTACAAGAAGTTGGCAGCTCGTTACTTTGGACCCTACGAGGTACTGCAGAAGATTAATCCGGTAGCATACCGTCTGCAGCTGCCAGCGGATGCACGCATCCATCCCACCTTCCATGTGTCATTGCTGAAGCGATACCGCGGAGAGGCGGACCGGGTAGAGACGACCGGCCCGCCGGTGTCAGCGGACGGAGATCTTGAGCTAACTCCCTTGCAGGTTCTGGATACCAGATGGGTGAAGAAAGGCGGGCGGCGGACAGAGGAGAGTTTGGTTCTGTGGAAGCATATGGAGAGGGAGGATGCCACCTGGGAGGAGACGACCACCCTACGACAACGATTTCCGACATTTGACCTTGAGGACAAGGTCATTTCTGATGGGGAAGGGAATGATAGAACCCGCGAGGCAGGTAGGGTGGGTTGGGGCCGGCCGTGTGGGCCCGGCTTGAGTAGCAGTTAGGTTCTTTTTGTTAGTTTGCTGAAACTCATAAAAGAGGGCTTAGTACGTTCATTTTGGAAGAAAGCAATAATAATATCAAAATCCCTAAATCCCTCTTCTCATTGTTCTTCCCCAATTCTCCTTCAAATCTCTAATTCTTCTTCTCAATTCCCAACCCAATTCTTCTCTATCAGTTCTCAGCAGTATTTGTGGATCATATGAATTAACTTCTAGATCCGAAAGATGTTCCAAACTTGTCCGTGCAACCTAGCTATCCGAAACCTGGTAGAAGAAGCTTTAGACAAATGCCTATCCATTCAGAAGCAGGAGAAAAGCTTTCAACATCAGAAGTAGATGTGACAATTTTCAATCCAATGCACTGTTCCATTAAAAATATCCAACTAATCCAATCCATTTGATCCAAATACAATTGGATTGGTGGATTCATGGATTGTTAGCAAATTACAGTTTAGTACCTATAATTTTTATTTTTTATATTTTCATACCTAAAATTTAATTTTTATACGAAAAATATCATTGGAAAGTTATATTTTAGTACCTAAAAATTTTCATCATGACATTTTAGTACCTAAACTTTTCACATTTTACATATTGGTCCAAAGTTGAGGATATCCTTTAGATTCATGAATAATCCACCAATGCATTTGATACATGAATCCACCAATCTACTTAATTTGATTCATGAATCCACCAATCCATTTAATCCATGAATCCACCCACCCACTCATGAATTTAATTCATTAGTCACCTCTAATCAGAAATGGTTCAAAAGCTGACAAATTAGTACTCTTCTATTCTCTCTTACCTCGTGCAGTTCACGGTACTTCAGTTGCTTTCGCCACAAAGGCCACAATCTTTTCCTTAATTGCGCATCCATCCCTCCAACACAAACTTTCCTTCTACAACTCGATCCTATAAAAATGGCCCTGCTCCCATTCCACTTTCCTCACAGCCAACAACACCAACCACAATTAACCTAATGCAGAGTAAAACAGAAGCACAATGAAGATAAGCAACGAAACCTCTTCTTCCAACCTCCTCTTCATCGCCACTCTAGTTCTCGCTGCGGCCTACGTGGAAGGCCAGAGCTGCAGGCCAAGTTTTGGCACATAACAGGGCTAACTCCACCACCGGGGCAATGCAACCAAGACCGGCAAGCATTACACCACTTACAAATGTTCCCCTCCGGTCACCGCAACCACGAAGGTGACTCTAACTTGGAAGTTGGAACAGCTTCGAGGCAGGGGGCAGTGGCGGAGACGCATCTGAGTGTGACAACCAGTACCATTCCGACGACAAGCCTATATTTGCACTCTCCACGGGATGGTTCAACAAGAAAAGCAGGTGTCTCAACTTCATCAACATTCATGGGAATGACACACTGTCAGGGCCATGGCGGTTGATGAATGCGACTCTGTGATTCTGATCATGATTATCAGCCTCCTTGCCCTAACAACATCGTCGACGCATCCAAAGCTGTTTGGAAGACGTCGAGTGTGCCTGAGAGTGATTGGGGAAATTTGGATATCTCCTGGTCTGATGCTAACTGATTCGTGTAGAATAGTTTATGGTTAATGATCAAAGTTTCTCATTTTGTGCGTATGTTTATGTTACTGTCTTTGTGAGCTAGTACGTATGATTGTGTGGATATTCTATCAATCTGTAACATATCAAAAGCTTTGATGGAAAATGTTGATGTCTGAACTTCAGTTTTGGCTATATTGGAGCTTCAGGAAATTGGAATGGATGAATTTGCTAATTTATTTGATGTGTTTATTAATCTGATTCCTTTTGTACATAGGCTCGTAAGTTATTTATAAAGGAAAGAACAACAAGCAACAAGTTGATGAGCATCATGGGTTGTCTGGAAATATGAGTTGTTTGGAATAGTATGGGGATATCATAGAATATGATGTGACAGGTTGGGTATAAACTTTTGCTTAGTGGTTAACCGATCACCGACTAATCGATTAATGGTTAGCCGAAACGAAAACCAATAACCATTTAATTGGTCACTGGTTAACCGATACGAAAACCAATAACCGTCTACTAGTATAACCACATAGTTTTGGACTATTGACTAAGGGGAAAAGTTCCAAGATTCAAAATCAACCAAAGTCGCAATTCCAAACATCTCAATTTTCACTTATTGCAAACAACCATTCACAAGTGTGTCAAATGTGCTTAAGAGTCAGAACTGAAAATCACCCATCTCTAACACCCTTTTGTAGTTGATAGAATGAACCTCACACCCTAGTGATATTTTTTATTTGATATTTGTGAATGATGATGATCTTATGGTGTTTGTGTTTGATGTCTTGCTAATTGGTACTCACTTATTGGAAAAAAATCCCACTGTACACACGTTCTTAAAAAAAATTCCCAAAATACATGAGTTATAAAATTTTTTCCCAAAGTACACATGTTTGAGCATCACCGTTTTAGACAAAAGCGGTGAAGGTCATCACCGCATTTGACGAAGACGGTGAATACTTCACCGTATTTAACTAAAACGGTGAAGAATTCACCGTTTCATACTAAAACGGTGAAGGGTTCACCGCGTTTGTTTTGGTTAAAAACGATGAACTCATTCACCGTTTTAGTTTAAAGCGGTGATCATTTCCCACGTTTCCCACCCCTGGTAGGTCAAAATTAGGTCGCAGCTACCAACTATTCACCATTTGAGACAAACGCGGTGATGGTGTTCACCATTTTCGACAAAAACGGTGAATAGTAGGCAGATTTTCCTATAAATAGCACACCACCAGCAGTTGTAAGAACATAACCACTCCCCTTTCTTCAAATTTCAGCAGCCAAAATCGAGCATAATACACAGAACAGAAATTTTTCGGTATGTTGAGACTTTTCGTATTATAGTCTAATTATGTTTTTAGTAGTTATAGTATGATTTAATTTTCGTATTATGTTGTTGTTAGTTAGTTGAACTTATGTTCGTTAGTTATAGTATGATTTAATTTTTGTATTATGTTGTTGTTAGTTAGTTGAATTTATTTTCGTTAGTTATGGTATGATTTAATATTAGTTGTACAATATGATTTTGGTTAATTTTACTGTCTTTAAGCTAATAGATACTTATTGTAAATTGTAGCTATGGGTAAATTCAAGAAGTTTCATCTTACTATTCAGTGGAATGGAAGGGTGACAAACTCTGACATAAGCATTGATTATGAGGACGGCGAATCCATTATGCTGAAAATTGATTCCCGATTCAATTTTCAAGAACTCTGTGATATTTGTGCAGAAAGGGTTTGTACGAGCGGACAGACGAGACTTGGCAAAATTACTTACCGGTATCCAGACATGAGTGCTGGCGGGGTCGTGTTCCAAGAAGTTGTCATAAACGATGATGACGCGGTTACGATGATGTTACAGTTCCTAAGCGATAACCAAGTCCGGCTTGCAGAGGTGTATGTTGAGACCGAGGCGGTCGGTGAATCTCATTCTCACCAGTATTCTTATGATGATGGTTTTGCAGGAGGGTATGATGGGGTGGTAGTTCGAGCAACTACCAAGGCGGTGGTTATACAGGAGGTTACAGGGAGGGTGGTGGTTCAATCAATTACGGTGGATCGAGTAGTGCAGGATGGGACAAATACTCGCAACCTCCTCAACCAGCCCCATTTGTTAAGGCCGATGGTGTTCAATGGCCTGCTTGGGGGCCAGAGTGGTCTGAAATCGAGAATACCATTCGATCAGGGCGTACTTCACATGAGCGAGAGGACGATGTTGGTGATCGTGGTCATGTTGATCCTTCTAGCCCGAGCTATCCATTCGAGTCGAGCGACGAGGATACTGAGGAAGATTTGAGATCAGTGAGCGAGGAGGAGGAAGATAATGATGATAACGAGGATGAGGCGGCATTTCGTGAGGCACTCACGCCATATTACACACAGGTTCCAACTTAATTTTTACATAGTCAGAATGATCCCCCCGACTTTATCCCTATGCCAGTGTACAATCCGACGGCCAATTTGGAGGTGGGTATGGCGTTCACATCGAAAGACGCTGTGCAGGATGCTTTTACAGAAGAGGCGTTGAGGCGCAATTTCGAGTGGAAGGTAAAATATTCTGACAGTAAACAACTACATGTCATATGCAAGCATGATGCAGAGGGTTGTACGTGGCAACTGCGGGCTGCAAATATGAAGAGAAAGGGTGCTTGGGTGATTCGCAAAGCTGAGACGATCCGCACATGCTCCTCTTCTATACTTTCCCAAGATCACAGGCAACTAAAAGCAAAGAAGGTTGGGAGAACTATTAAGCACCTTATAGAAGCACAACCAGATATCAAAGTCACGGTGAACGCGCCAGCGACGCGGATCGCTGACGCAAACAAACACGGGGTATTCACCGTGTTTGTCTAACGCAGTGAATACCCCGCGTTAGTCCACGTCAGCGCCTTCACCGTGGACCACTAAAACGGTGAAGTCCTCACCGTTTTTGTCTAAAACGGTGATTTGTTCACCGTCTCTGTCTAAAACGGTTATAGACTAAAACGGTGAATACGTCACCGTTGTTTTCTAAAACGGTGAAATGTTCACCGTTTTTCTCAAACGCGGTGATACCTTTCACTGCGTTTGTCAAAAACGGTGATGCTCAAACATGTGTACTTTTGGAATTTTTTTTATAACTTATGTATTTTGGGAATTTTTTTAAGAACTAGTGTACTTTGGGATTTTTTCCCACTTATTGGATGAATAAGTTAGCCTATTTTTTTTAATTTATGCATTGGATTTGGATTTGAATTATGAATTCACGATGAATGTTGCATTGATATGATTTCTTATGGATATTATTTTATGTTAACAATGTAGATATGTACTTAAATTATTTGAATTATTTTTATGATTATTCTTCTCCAATATTTAGTACTCTTGGTTATTCGATTTATTATATTTTGTGAAAGAAAATCGAAGCTATTGGTTTGATATGTGATTCGATTAGGTATAACCGTAGTTGTTGGAATGTATGTTAGGCGTTATTGGTTAACCACCAAACTAACCGCTAACCGAACCAATAAAAGACAGTTAATCGTTAAAGCTGATCAATTCGATTATCGGTATAATTTTTTGCTTATTGGTTAACCGCTATATTGGTTAGTGGTTGATCGAAATAGAATCCATTAGCACCCCTACTTGCACTATCAACTATCTTAAAGCTACTACTAGAATGAAAAAGTTTAAGTAGGGAACGTGAAACAATTTATATTAGTAATCTGTGTGACCAAACTTGCATACTATCATATTTTTTAGTTTAAATTGAATAATCCAATAATTTATTTATTTAAGTTAGACATTCATTTAGTAATTTTAATATGACATTTATCATTAAAAAAACTTGTTTTCATAAATTTTCATCGTCTATAACTACCTAGAAAGGTAACAAAGGGAAAACGTTGATAAAGCTCCTACTCCATCGGTTATGGATGACTACTATGCGGTTATAGTTAGGGTTAAAATATTTATCTGGCCCAAACTTTTCTCACATTTAATATTCTGGCCAATCCTTTTGGTATTTAATATCGTGGCCAGAACTAACCCAACACTTTATTAATTTGGCCAAACCCAAGAGTTGACTGTTGTTTTAACGGTAAATGACGTTGAGTAATGGTCAACCCGGCATGTCACTGCCTAGTCAGCATAAATAAACTTAAGAAATTTCTAAATTTCACATAATCCCTAAAAATTATTATAATTAAAGTATAATTAAAACAAATATTGAAAAAACAAAATTTGAGAAACATAATCCCTAATTCCCATAATGGGTGATCAACCCCAAATCTCGCTATGACGCACATAGCTTTTTTTATGTGCATGTGCTCAAAACATTCCCATTGGTCCACATCACCCAAACTGAAAATGAGTGACCAAAAATCATTGGCTTGGAAATAGGTATTTGGTTTGTATGAGTGAGCCAAGCCAATTTTGCAACCAAACTGAAAATTATTTGGTTGAAAATAGTAAAAATCATTTTGCAACCAAATTATTTGTTCGTCTCAAATTTCATTTGGTTATCAATACTTTGATTTTAATAGACAACCAATTTTTTAGTCTTTTATCTACCAAAATATAATTGGTCGTGTATACTAGACTTTTCACAACCACAGATATGAGCCTTGTCGATCCAACGTAAGTGAAAACCAACTGGATTAAACTTTGTGATGAGGTCATTTTTTTTTTGCCCCCCACAATCACAGATATGCATGAAATGGGATTACCAGTATCATCACCACGGGAACCGGAGACCGCTTTCGTTTGCAAATAAAGTCAATGTGGACTTTGTTTTCTCAATTATTCTGCTTTACAATAATAAGATCGATGTTTGCTACTTTGTGCATCGTTACTTGCGACCTACTACTACTACTATATGACCTTATATGTAT